TCTGTGAACGCAAATTAGTTAGTTTAAAATCAGTTAAATGACGAAATATTAGGTGTCAATTTACTCGTGACCACTCAGTGTATGTATAGAAAATGAGTGATATTCCCTAGTGTTTTTGCATTTCTACATCTTGAGAGTTGTGATATGTGAAAACATAAAATTACGTAATATATGGTACAATATGTAGGCTCCAGCGGTGCCCCCCAGTAGCACTGCGGTATGTCTGCGGACTTACAACGCTAGAATCCGGGTTTCGGTATCCGTGGTGGGCGGAGCACAGACAGCCCATTGTGTAGCTTTGTGCTTAATTACAAAACAAACAAACAAGCTCCAGCGGTACTGAACAGTATGTAAACAAGTTGGTAGTTTGAGGGTTAATTATAATTAAATTGTTCGAACAAAAGATTGGTTAAAATGTTATATTCAAACTTTAATTGTTGTATAAACTTCAGACTTGAAAAATTTCCTAAACATTTTTGGTTTTTAAAGCTGAACTCTGTATATAGGTATAATATATATGTTTTTATTCCTACTAAAATAAACTAGTCATCTTTACAAAATAACATGCTACTTTGTTAAGAATCATTTTCTCTTTCCCAATCCTCGTTTAATGTTTTAAAGGTGAACTGTGCCGGGCATATTGTGGTAGTTAGCTTGTCGGCCTAAGGATACTAAAGTTCAAGGTTCGAGCTACGATATTCCAATGAACACTCCCCGCGCTTTAAGCTGTATGGTATTATAGCTGTAACAGTCATTCCCGCTATTCGGTTAAAAGTAGCTGCATCTGGTTGCACCACCTCTGAATAAAGCATGGCAACCCCTGTACTTTGTGGATCTCTATCCTAAACATTTAGCCCAGGTGTAACATAAGACCAATACCAAAAGCGAAAGTATGAAAGTAGAGACAGAAATAGCTAAACAAAATTGGCTGACATTAAAAATATATTAACACAAAGTTATATATAAAGTTTGAACCACAGAGGCTGTTCAGGTTAACAATGGTCAGAAAGACGAAAGTATCTGATTTTTTAAGCATTCGATGAATGAAGGGCGTTTCTTTAAAGCACTAGATGAAAATTCTTAATTATGATGAATAAATCTTTAAATATGTTCATGATTTTCAGTTATTTTTCAAAGACAAAATGCATACATATTGTGATATTCAATTTATTTCGACTCATTATGCAGTGTTCATGGTCCGGCATGGCCAGGTGGTTAGTGCGCTCGACTCATAATCCCCGTCACACCAAACATGCCAACCTCCGCCTTTGCCTGGTCCCAAGTCCAGGATGAGAAAGGAGGAGGTTTAGGCGCGGGGCTAGCAACTCCACCCCGTAAAAACCAACCTGCTACAAGTAACTGCAACAACAACTTCCGTTGGCGAAGTATTGTTGCGGCCCTATGCTCCACTGGGAGTTTACATGGAAAAAAAATGCAGTGTTCATAAACGATATTGGTAACAGAGCCCCATAACTTTTGTAGTAATTTAATTATTATCACACCGTTACACATATGTGTATATTGATTCAAAATAATCCTTCATCTTAATGACT